ATGCCGGCACAAAGAAATTTGTTGTCGGTAAATTTCTGGACTTCGTTATTGTTAATCATATTATTTAATTTTGATGATGTCTAAAATATTATTTGTAACAATTTAGATTTTTTTAATATACATATTATTTGACACAAAATATTATCTTTTTAAAAATATATATATATATATTTTTTTTAAATATTATAATAAAAATATTTTGGAAAACTTTACTATTCACTTTTTGAAAATTTAGGTTGATCACTATTCACTTTTTGACAAAATTAAAATAAAAATATTTTTGAAAACTTTACTATTCACTTTTTGAAAATTTAGGCTGATCACTATTCACTTTTTGACAAAATTAAAATTGATTAAAAATTTTGATTAATTATATTATTTTGACAAATTTAATATTGATGGGTTGTCTTGTGTTGACAAAATTAATATGGAGTGGTAGAATATATTTAGTTTAAAATCTCTACAACTTATACAATATTTTAAAGAAGGCATATATTTTCAAATCCATCTAAATATTATTAAAGAGATTTTTTTTATGCAAATATTTGATTAGAACATTATATATATATTGCATATAATATGAATAGAATACATCACGTGCGCTATTAAATTTTTTACATTACATTGATTATATCATATTATAATCAAACAAGAAGAAAAAGATGGAGTTATATATGTATATAGATGGAGCAAATCATCTGTTTGTTTAAAAGTTGTGAACTTTGTATTAAATTGTCTACAAAAACGGTGGCTCCATGTTTATATATATATAGAAGAAAAAATCAATAAGTAATTCCCCTTAAAGATTTCCTTTTTGCTTATGAAAATAAAAGTCACATTTAAATTTAGGTGGTGTTTGATAAAGTTGAAACTTAAAAACTGAATATTGAAAATTAAGTATTGAAAACTAAATATTAAATTTTTTAAGTTAAAAAGTTGTTTGATAAATATTTGAGTGTTGAACTAAAAGTAAATTGTTTGATATTATAAGAACAAATTTGAAATTTAGTATTTTCAAACTGTATATTTCAATTAATAATCTTTTCTATGCGGAGGTTATGCCCCTCCTTTATGAGGATTTTTTCTCCTCCTCTATAGAGGCTATATAGAAGTTTGTCATTTCTTTATGAGATCTTTTGTAACCGTTGTTCGAGATTGATCCGATTTTTTATCTGTTTTGCAATGAAAAATTTATTCTCGATCTAAAAATATATATATTGTGATAGCTGTGGTGGCGACAACATGATGATGGTAGTGGTGGTAATGGTGGTGGTGGCGGTGGTAGCGGTGGTAGTAGTAGTGGTAATGGTGGTGGCGGCATGATGGTAGCGGCAGAGACAGTGGCATGGTAGCGGTTCAAATTCTGAATATTGTGTTATTTTTAATATTGTGAAATTTTTAATAACCCAATTCACCCCCCTCTTGGGTTGCCTATCTGGGATAACAGTTATGGTAAACTCCCAAACGGTAATTTCTCAAGTTCAAAATTTTCAATTAGTTTTGCATGATATTCATTCTAAAGGTATGTCTCTTAACGAGTCTTTCCAAGTTGCTGCTTTGGTGGAAAAAGTTACCACCGGCTTGGAAAGATTTCAAAAATTATTTAAAACATAAACGCAAGGAGATAACCATGCATGAATTGATTGTAAGACTAGGAATTGAGGAAGATAACCGAAAGGCTAAAAAGAGGAATGGTAAAAATCCCTTTGAGTCCAAGGCTAATGTGGTTGAACAAGTGCACAAACCACATAACAAAAAGAGAAAGTTTACTGGAGATGGTCTTAAGCAAAGCGACAACAATGGCAATAAACAGTTCAAAGGTAAATGCTATAATTGTGGCAAGACCGAACATCGAGCTTCTGATTGCCGCCGCCCTAAGAAGGATCGCATAAGTACAAGCAAGAAGACTACCAATCAAGCCAATGTGACAGAACTTGATTACATCTCTAACGAGGTAAATGACATCAATCTCTCTATTGTGGCGTCTGAAGCTAATTTGATTGGAAATCCTAAGGAATGGTGGATTAACACTAGGGCAACTCGACACATTTACAATGAAGCTATAAATGGTGAACAACTTTTTATGGAAAATTCTTCTACTTCTACTATGGCTGAACAAGGAAAAGTGATCTTGAAGATGACATCAAGGAAGGAACTTACCATTAACAACGTACAGCATGTACCAAACATCCGAAAGAATTTTGTTTCTAGTTCTTTGTTAAGTAAAATGGTTTTAGGTTTGTATTTGAGTCTGATAAATTTGTATTAACAAAGAGTGGTATGTATGTTGGTAAGGGATACATGAGTGATGGTCTCTTCAAGTTAAATGTAATGACGGTTGTACCAAAACTTGCTATCAATAAGAATAACACATCTTTTGCTTATATTATTGAGTAAAATTTATGGCATGGTAGATTACAACATGTAAATTTTGATGCTTTGAGTAGATTAATTGGTTTAGATTATATACTAAAGTTTGAAATTTATCCTAATCACAAATGTGAGATTTGTGTAGAAGTGAAACTAACTAAGACTCCATTTAAATCGGTTGAAAGAAAAATCAAACCTCTAGAATTAATTCATATTGATGTTTGTGATCTTAAATTTGTTCAAACTAGAGAAGGCAAAAAGTATTTCATAACATTTATCGATGATTGCACAAAATATTGTCATGTATATTTAAAAGTAAAGATGAAGCCTTAGAAATGTTTAAACTCTACAAAACTGAAGTTGAAAATCAACTTGGTAAAACCATTAAAATGGTTAAAAGTGATAGGAGTGGCGAATATGATGCACTATTAAATGAATTTTGTGCATAACATGGCATTATTCACCAAACTACAGCACCCTATTCTTCACAGCAAAATGGAATCACTACAAGAAATTGCATTTTTCGCAACGCAACAAAATATGTTGCTAAAAGGGTAAATTCGTTGGCAAAGAGTTTTGCCGACACACAAAGCTACGTTGGCAACCCGTAGGCAAAAGTGAGTTGGCAAAAGTTTTTGCCGACGAAATGATCATTGCGTTGGTAAAAGTAATACCTTTAGCGACGAACATAGTCGTCGCTAAAAGCCTCCATCCATCGTCGGCAATTTACCTTGTGTTGGTAAAAGTCATTCAAATATGATAATTGTGACACTTTTCGCGACACAAATTTGCATGGGCAAAAAATATACTTTTAGCAACAACATATGCGTCGGCAAAAGTAAACTTTTGGCGACACATTTAAGTCGGTAAATGTTGCCATTTGCCGACGATTTGTTTGTCGCTAATGCTTTACTTTTGGCAACGACAAATTGACATTGGCAAAAAATACACTTCTACCAACACAATATGAGTGGAAAAAAGTAACTTTTAGCGACACATTTACGTCGGTAAATGTTGCCATTTGCCAACGATTTGATTGTCGATAAAGCTTTAGTTTTGGCAACGACAAATTGACATTGGCAAAAAATACACTTTTAGCAACACAATATGAGTGAACAAAAATAAACTTTTGGCTACACATTTACCGACAAGTTATTTGTCGAGAAAGCTTTACTTTTTAACGACGACAAATTTGCAGCGGCAAAAATAATTGAAACTCATTTATAATTTTTTAAAAGATTTACAGTTTTACAAGAGGCATCCCTCAGGCACCACTATAACAAACTAATAACATTGATATGAAATCACACAAAATACCCCTCTATACCCTTCCATCCAAAACACCAGCAGTTGCCCGAACTTACACCTAATGACAACCCCCATTAATGAAAACCTAATCTATTACAGATTAGACAAAAAGTCCTGCACCCTTCCAAACATCAACAACACCAGCAAACATCCAACAACAACACCGCAGCACCTCATCGTAACAATCACCATCACAGCAGCATCACCACAGCATCTCAGCAACAGCAGCAACATCACAGTAGCACCAGAAGAATAGCAGATTAGTATAGCAGATCAGCAAACTGATTCAACACAGATCATCACCAGTTCAGAAAACCATTTCAACTCAGCAACCCAAACAAAATCATATAACCAAATCAGAATTGACGCAACAGTTTACCTCATTTACCAGAACAGTCAGAAAACAAATCAAACAAAACCAGTAACAAAACTATACAAAATGCTCAGAAATCAGTTTACCATGTTTGTCATCCATCAATTGTTCAAACAGCCCTCAAAACTATACAATTCTTAGTAACTTTTAAGCCATCAGGTTAACAGAAGTTAAGTAAAAATTCAAACTAATTCACTGGCTGTCATGTTTACACTAGGAGAGTGAGTCATATAAAAACACTCAATTCAAGTACACCACAATGTTTACCAAGCTAACCTTATACCAATGCACTGGAAACAGTAAAAGTAACTAAGCATTGAGATTGTCCATACACCACAATGTTCACTGATGGCTCTCTTCACTGCTTTAGAATGTGACTGGTGCACTGAAATATGAAACAAAGTCGAATCATTTCACTCAAAACCATTAGTGGCAAATTTATTACACTCAAATCATTAAATTAGTCATGAGAAAGTCAACAAAATGCTTCTATAATGAAGGTACCAGTAAACAAGATCAGAAACATTGACCTCCTTCCCCCACCATCTGCTAGTGGAGAAAGAAAAGAAAAATATATATATATATATATCCATCCCTACAATAAAATACCCGAGTAATGCACAATTAAAATCTTGAGATTGTTAACAACTCTCTCCTTGTATTCCTTGCCGCTTATTCTAGCTTCTGTAGGAAGTAGGTCTAGCTTCAATGGAGTCTGCAATCAATCGGGAGATGGTCACACGAGGGTGAGGAAGATAAGAGGAAATTTATGCACCCAACAGACTGATCTATAAAACCAAATAGACAACAAACCAGCTAGGAAGTTTGATGGCATTAGTATTACAACAAATGCTAATAAATGCATTCAGGTCATAATATATGCTTAGTATCTCACACATAGAACAATATGGTACGTGCATTATGTTGCAATATGTGATTTGTTATGTCCACGTTCTCATGAGATCTGGTTGTTTCTCTAGGCTTCAGTCTTGAATAAATTCTACACTAGCAAGGGATAGAATGTAGTACTTCTCAGTAGCAAGCTCCGCTCTATCACCAGCAGCTAGAAGAACCGGTGTTGAGTGGGTCTGGAAACCAGTAATGGTCTTGGGTCGACCTGCCTGGCCAACAACATCGACAGCTTGGCCCACCTGCACAGGTACTGACAGAGGTTTCAAGTTCTCATCTACTGTCAGTAGCATTCTTGGCTGTAGTATTGAAGGAAATATATAACATAATCAACCATTAGTAGTAGTGTGTTAACAGCCCAATCATTAAAAGCAATAGAGAGTGAGATAGAAGTAGACAAACTATTATAAACTGAGACCAAACCTGCATTGCCAAAACGAGGAAGTAAAGAACATAATGATATTTCCCCAATATGATCGTTTTCATACCAAGACATGCATGCAGTAAGGTTACTATTCCAGCCAGTGCCGTTCTGGAAGAAAAAGATGAAATACATACAGAAAGTGAGCCGACAGAAAAGCCAGAGGTATGACTTAAAAATACTTCTCCTCACAGATACTAAAATTTATTTATTCATTTAATTGCAGAAAAGAAGGCTAGATCATAATCTAAAAACTTCATATTTGTAACCCTGTCTCCCAATATGCTTTATCCCACAAATTATTTATTTATTTATTTATTATTTTTTTATAAATAAAAATGTTTTACTCCACATGACAGCCTTTTAACAGCTTTGGACAAAATAGCCACATTACAGATTACAACAGTAAACAAACTTTGCAGACAATACAGATCATATATTCCTTTAGCTCTACTGAATGATTTACCCTGTCGAAGAAGTGAATGCATGAAGCATTTGACACCATTCTTAACCCAACAGAGCTGTAAGCTGAACTTATTTGGATCATCTGATTTAATCCTCTTCCAACACTCGGCTGTATCTAAGACCAAAACTTCTCTTATACAAAAGATGCTCATAGGATGACGAATTTTTTGTTTGTTTCTAGTGTGTTTGGAAATTCCATATGAATGCTATTGATTCATTTCTAGAATTCCATCACATAAATAATGTGGAATAATTCTTCTTTCAAAAATAAATCTCTTAAATGGGAAACAAACCATTGTTCCCCTGTATACGGGATATTAACTAAAAGCGGAATGAACCACTTGAAATGGTAGGTTTAAACTACATGGACTAGCTTAGGTGCCATCAAAATTCTAACAAAAAACCTTTAGATTCAACAGAAACATCCCAATTAACGGGTCAGTCCTGATGTGAAAACTACCACTTTGGAAGAAGTCTCCCATTGTTGAAACTTGCTCATCTCCCGCTGGATATGTATGTATGTGAATCAGTTCTAACCCACACCCTAAAATTGAAAAGTTAATATGGGGGAGAAGAAACACTTACGGGGATAGCAAAAAGCGCTCAGAATGATATGGAGCAAGAGTCAACAAGCCTTTTCCCAAATGTACAAGACCCTGGGCAATTCGTACCTGCACAAGTGGCCAACACAAATCATTAAAACAGAACCCCTTAAAAAAATAAAAAATAAAAATAAAAATAAAAGAAAGAAAGCTTTCAGTTCATACGTCATATTTACTAGCAACAAATGAAGAGACATGTTCCTCCATGCATCCCCATTGTTGCTGTTGTTGAGAAACTGACCCCAAGATGGTCTTGTGCAGCCTTTTAAGCTCTGATCAAGCTGTGAACCAAAATTCAGAAGCAGCCCTTGGTTTTCTGCTTCTAATTTATTTTTCTGATCTGTATAACTTTTAATTTTAGTGAGTGCCTGAAAGCAATGCAGCTAAAGCACAAGAAAGAAGCACATTAACGCATGTAAGGACATACAAGTTCGAAAAATTTGTGCTTAGTAGTTATGCTAGAAATTGAACTATGTAATTTGATTAGAACATCCTAGGATAGGGTGTTTGTTCATCGATGTCATGACCTTGTGATCTCCAAAGCAACAAAACAATGTTACAGTATTCTAGTGTCACTTAAAGCTATTTCTTGTTAACCATGGAACCTTACTACTCAATTGTTTACTCCTAGCCAAGGGCTTTTTAGCCCAATGGTATTTACCCCAGCACTCTTATTTTAGTTTGGATGTTCAAACCTCGCCTTTTTAGCTCCTATCTATTCCACCCAGGACCACCACCACTTAGCGACTGGCTCTTTCCCAATACCATTAAGAGTAAGCTTTGGTAAAGAAAACCAGGTCCACTATTTGTTGCCTGCAAAGAAAATTTACAAGGTAAGAAAACTTCATCATCAGTCTGTTAGAAAATACTGTCAATTGCAGTTGTAGGTAGTTGTACTTGTTTGCATAGAAAGCTTTGGTAAAGAGGAGTCATTAAAATCCAACATTCAAATCAGAAATTAAAAGAAAAAAAACCTGGATAAAGGATGATTACATCTGAATCAGTGATCAGTCATGCAGTGTGTCAACTAGAAACTACAGGTTTAGTGGAAAACAATTTACCTCATACATAATGTCACTAGCCGCAGCTTCAGAATGCAAAGGCGATGGAAGTGAGTAGACTATCGCCTTCAAGATGGTTTTTTCCCTTTCCTTGTTTGTCTCCATTAGTGCCCTCTCTAACAATGCTTTTGCCTCTGGATTAAGCTCGGTAATGAACTTCAATGGTGATGGCCATATGAGAGGATCTGGAGCTGACGGGTTCAATAATGCTGCACATGCTGCATGCTTGTGCCTCAGAGCAACCATGTAAGGTATCCTCCTGCCAAGATATCAGCTGGTAACAATCGTTTCATTCACAAAACATTCGAAGCTAATGTCTCCACTCATTTAAAATACAAATAGAGCAAAGTTCCCACAATATTGGAAGTATTAAAAACAGAAAAATAGCAAAAAAAAAATTTCAAGTGCAACTATGTCAAAAGTTCAGTGGAACTCCAGTGGTGATTGCCAAAAGGAAAATGTCAAAATGTCATTTTTTTAGCAATGTTGTTCCAATGGTGCAAATGCCATTTTGGCACATCTAGATCATTGCTTAATTCTGTCCGATGGATGTCTCACATCCAGACCATTGGATCAAAACCCTCTCTTAGGTAAGTTGAGTTGGCACAAATGATGCACAAGATTTGGCAATATAAGTTTTTAACAGACCTTTTGGCAGGCCACTAGAGAGGATTTCTTAGGTGCAGCCACCATATAATTTTGCAATAGCAACCATTATACAAGCCCACTGAAGTTGCTCCTTCTTAGGTGTCAACCATATCTTTTGTTAAACCATACTTGTCAAAGCCTCAATCCAAATTCTTTAATGCCATCATGTCATCGTCAACAATCTCAATAGGAACCAATTACTCTCGATTTTCGTTATGATTGAGCATGATGGCTAATATTGTTTAACCACACTAGAAATACGTAGATTGTAGCACATTCAACTCCATAGAAAGGGAATAACAAGGGGGTTCAGACACTGCTATAACATTAATTCCATATTGAGTACTCAAAACTAATTTCAGCATCAAAGACCTTGAAATCACCTTCTCCGTATGTCAGTGGATCTGGTCTGCATCAATTATCATATAGTTCTTTCTAAAGTCAGGAAAGAAAGAAAAACTAAAAAAATTAAAAACTAAAAAAATTAAAAATTAAAAATAAAAAGTTTACCTAGATGAATCTCTATGAAGTCTATCAGCCCCCCAAGCAAGTAATTCCCGAACACAATCCAATGAACCCCCACGAACTGCAAAATGAAGTGATATAATCCCAGGGAAACTGCAAACAGGACTCTTATAAATATTAATGACAAATTAAGAGTGCTATGACATTACACTAGAAAACCTTCAATAAGAGAGTTTTACCCATATCCTCTAGAAGATGCACAAACAAGAGCCCCACTGTCTAACAACATATGAACGCACCCCGGCCATCCTTGTCGGGCTGCCAAGTGCAATTGGGTTGCTCCATTTTTATCTCTTATATTCACAAACCTTGCAAATTCCCTGCCATCAACTCCAAATCAAACCAAACAAAACAACCACAGCTTTAGCAACTTCATGGATATTCTCTACACACAAGCATATATGAGTGTGTGTGTGTGCAGAGAGAGAGAGAGAGGGTCACCAGGAATGTGCAACAGAGGTGGAAAGGGTAGCAGAAAGAATAGCTTATAGGCAATCTAGATGGCCATAGAAAGCAGCATAATGCAAACAGGTTTTTCCATGGACTAAATCAAACATCAAAATCTAATGAAATTTCATACACAACCAATGATCAATTTATCTTCTACAATTCAACCAATGATAGTATTTTGTTTGCATAAAAAACAAGTATTGCAAGTGGGGGCGACATAGGCTAGCGGTAAACCAGGCCCCTACCGCACAACCACCGCATACTGCCAGCCATATATGTCTAAGGGCGGGCCCAAATTGCTAATGGTAGGGACAGAGAATAAGCACAGAATCAAAAAGTGAACAAAGACACCTCTCTACCTCTAATCTAATCTAATCTTACAGTGAGGAAAATGACAGTAACTACCAAAAATAATTGCCGAGACAATAAAAGAGATGTGTGCGGTGTGGAGGGCTCACTCCAATTGATTATATCTTCCTGTTATTTTGTGATGGTAATGAAACGGGATAATTCAAGATGCTTCACAGGGCTCACACTCTATTGTCAGCAATTGCACCCATGATTGCAAAAATTTCACAAAGTGAATTGTAAGGAGTAATCATGACAACCAAAATAAATATTAAAAAATTAGAAGCACATCTGGTTATTTATAGTCACATAACAATAATCAAATTATTTATTTAAACATTGCCACAAAATCTTTTTTTGTATGAAATGGGGCTATAACTTAATTCTCATTATCTCAAAGAAGTTCGAGGCAAATGAACCCAAAAAAAAAAAAAAACTCATTTTGATATGAATGATCATCAGAGAAGTGATGAACCAAAATAGAGCCAGCATATTCAAATAGTTATCTTGCCCAACCAAATTGCCCATTTACAAGTTTATTTACTTTCATTACAAATCTTTGAGAGGCCAAGCTGTGTGAGAACATGTCTGTTATCAAATAGAATTGCAATCCACGAAAAATAATTTTAGTTTAGGTAATGGTCATAGAGCAACTGCAAAATATGCAATGGCCTTAAATAGGTCTAAATTCCATGAATTTGGCTGGGAAATTCATGACCCGTCTTCATGAATAATTTGTAAGATTTTAATTTATCATAATCAAATCTTTCAAAGTCTATTACAAATAATAATTTACCATTTGTATTGCTAATCAGTGCTTGTTCATTGTTCAATAATTGCATCTACTAGCTTTTCAATTTCATTACTAAGTGCTTGTTCATTCAAGCACTTAGTGCCAAACAATCAGGTTAACAAAGTGATTTTATTTATTTATTTATTTTATTTTTTTTTGTAGGATACATCTCAGTTTTTTACCTTTAGCATCTTCTTTGCCTTCTCAATTTCAAGATGAAATGGATGGCTTGTAACAAAACCCCCTTCCATATTTCTTCTTTTGGGATGGTGACTTTCAACTTCACCATCAATATGTTAATCGGTTATGACTGAATATTTGTTCTAGCAATAATCTCTTGTCTCTTCACTTTATTTATTTGTTTTTAATTTGCCTATAATTTTCTGTTAACACCAACCAGCTTTTTGACTTCGAATGAATAGATATAAATAAAATATATTATTCTATATTAAATATTTGTATATAAATTCTATTGGTACATTATAGTATTACCTTACCTGATTTTCTCTCAGTGATGTCAATTTCCAACTAGCCAAACAAACAGGCTTTGTCAAACGGGCCTTGTGATTCTTCATGTTTATGGTCCTACGATGTACAGTCTGATATAACATCATCTTTGAGGAGAACAAGTATATTCCTACAGGCTAAAGCATATTACTCACTAAAAATAGATCTAAAAGACATGAAAGGCAATTGTAAAGAAAGGAAATGACAGAGACAAACACTAAAAAGCCTTTTGCAGAGACAAACATGATATATATCAACTCAGAGAATAACAATTCCTGTTGGTCCTATTGTGAAAGTTTTGCACCATCGTTATCTTTACCAAAACACAAATGACAAAAATGCCTAATATATGGTTGGTCTAAATGAGAAATTTCAACGAATTACAAAAAAAATTTCTTAGAGGAGGTGGAAGGCCCCATGATCACATTGAAAGTCTATGATCCGTTTATATCTAAAATACACTTGACTACTACTGCAACCCGCATTACAACACGGTAATGACTGTTAATGAAAAGGTCTATTGTCGTGTTCACATTTAATTTTTTTGAATTCATTGATCACAGCCCTATCACAGGTTCACCATGAATTTCCATAAAAGCAACATTTCATTTTATCAAAGTGAACAATTTTAGGGAGGTGGTTAGAGGTTTGGCAGTGACGGCTACAGGGCTAAAGTTATCCAGATTTAACCAAAAGATAAAATAGCAGGGAAATTGCATAACATGCCACAAAAAAATAGTAACTTTTTCTTATAATGTGTGCACTTTGTAAATCAATTAAGAACATTGAGACATCATTTAAGTGGCTAGTATAAAACATTTGTTTTATATTGACATAATGTTATAAAAAAGTACAACCTTTTTTTAAAAGCACATTAGACCTTTATACAGTAACAGAAAAATGTTATACAGCTCAACCACCCTTTTTCTACTCATTTTCTACCTACAAACCAATACAGACTAAAAATGCATCGATAGGTAATATTAACTCAAACTGTCAGATCTAATGCATGTATTATTCTTTTGGTTTATTCTGCAGAATTTTACAATACCTCTACAATTTTAATTTTTTTCTTGGGGGCAATGTGTTTTTTTTGGGCTTGCCATGCCATTTATCACTTCCTTTACAATGTAACAAGCAACCTGAAAAAAACCACCAAAAAAAAAAAAGAAGAAAAAGATGCACACAAAAGAACATGCTCTTTAATCTTTATGATGACTACAATTTAACATGTCACATTTTATAATTTTTCAACTTCTCTTCACAAATTGCCCCTGCAAAAAAGTGAAGAAATGATATTGAAAAGAAAAACACTATCAAAATCATTTGCAATAGCTAAAACATTTAAACATGATAGATTAATTACATATATATATAATGTTTATTTACCTTCATACGAGGACGCTTCTATGCGTTGATCTTTCGAACTTCATAACGGATACCTTTGAAGAAAAGCCAGTTCTGCCTCTTCTCCTTGTACCTCAACACACTAGCTTCTCTTTTCCCTAACTTCCACTCCTCTCCTCCTCCACCTTGAAATACTACTTCCTCTTTTACCTTGATATTATTGCCACCATCACCACAGCCATTGCTAATGCTATATTCTGGAACTGTCCACAACCCTCCATTACTTCCCCAACCATCCTTCAACCCCTATAATTCTTTTAATTTTCCTCCAAAGATCAAAATGGTGGTACATATAATAGCTTTACACATTCACCAAAACATGAACATTATTAGACAAGTTTAATACAAATTTTAATGAAACAATTAAAGCTGTAATAGATGGGTTAGTAAATCATCTAAAGCCGCTACATGTATATATACATATATATTTTAGGGGGAAACTGAAATATTTCATGATTTTCAAAAATCATGGATTTTCAAAATAAGGGGTACTAAATAATATATTTATAAATGCTTTAAAAATGATCACAAAGCAAGGGACAGACATTTCAGGAAATGTTCTCTTACAGAGTACAACAGATCAAAATACAAAATGAGGGCATTGATATACAGATTTTATTCTAAACCTAATTCAATCAAATACCTATAAAAGTTACTTTGATTTCATATCAGTAGGTTAATCACTACATATAGCTTACCGACAGTGGCATTTCGAACAGCAAAATCACATGGACATCAAAGACAGATCGAAGAAAACCAGATTAATAATAAAAAACATAGATCCACAACATACGAGAGAATCGATTTGAGCAAGAGACAAATAGAGAACTATAAGTTTTTTTAGTCGAATCTTCACCTGGTCTCGCACATAAGCAGCAAACGGCGGAAACCTGACAATCAACAAACGTCTATGCGGATGTGCGATTGTAAGGGTAGGGACCTACGAATTATGAGAGAAGGCTGTGCAAGATGGAAAATCGGGTAGAGTGATGAGGGGGTTTGTTACCTATCCTGGGAAAAAAAAGGGAAAATTTTGAGAGGGAACGTTCACACCGCCTGAATAAGCAGATCACCAAAAAAAAATGAGGACAATAAAAACAATTTTTAGATTTTTTTTTTGGAAAAACTTAAAATTAATTTGAGAACAATAAAAATCAAAAATATATTTTTAAAATTTTAAAAATTAATTTATGACCTCCCAAAACATAAAATTATACAAAAATAATAAGTATATTTTATTTTTTCACCAAATGTTTTTTAATTTTTTAGAAATTTTGAAATAAGTTTCTAAAAATACAACCAAATATATTGAAATTGATGATCTAACCACTTTGGAAAAGTTTAGATTATCTTAAATTAGCCATCTCAACTTAAGAACATGTTTGAGTTTGACGGGTTTATTTTGTGATATAATTCGATGATCACTTTAATTTTACAATTCAATAATTAGAATATTTAAAATTTTTTGAAAAATTATAATAAAAATACAAATAACTAGATCACCTCATTTCACTACCAAAACTTTTACCGACGAATAGTATTATCATCGCTAAATGTTTAACTCTTTGCCCATGCCAACTTGTCGTCGCCAAAAGTAAGCACATTAATAACGACGCTTATTGTGTTGCTAAAAATTAAGCCTCGTAGCTAAAATTTATGAAATTTTGGCGCCAACCAATATTTTTGGCGCCTAGTCAGTGTTGTGCTTTTTTAGCGACGATAGTAAATTGCGTTGGTAAAGGTCTACTTTTCCCAACGAAATTGATTGCTGTGTCGCCAAAAATATACTTTTAGCTACGAAAAATTGACGTTGTAGCCAAAAGTAGCCGCCAAAAGTGCAATTTCTTGTAGTGAATGGCTGAAAGGAAGAATAGAACTCTTAAAGAAATGATAAATGCCATGTTACTAAGTTCAGACTTACCACAGAACTTGTGGAGGAAAATTGTCTGCTAATTATGTTCTTAACAGAATACCCCACAAGAAATCTAACAGCACTCCTTATGAATTATGGAAAGGTCGACCACCTTCTTACAAATACTTAAAAGTGTGGGGGTGTTTGGCAAAGGTAAAAGTTCATGTTCCTAAAAAGACTAAGATAGGACAAAAAACAGTGGATTGTGTGTTTATTGGTTATGCTCAGAATAGTAGTACATATCGGTCTTTGACTTGTAAATCAGAAATACCTGATATAAATATGAACACTATTATAGAGTTAAGGAATGCTGTGTTTTTTGAACATGTCTTTTCTTACAAGAAATGACAGAAATTAAGTTCATATAAAAGAACTCATGATTGTACACAAAGTCAAGAGACTAATGACAATCAAACGCAAAAGACTAGTAATGGTCTCGACCAGCAGGATTTAACTAATGATGAACCAAGACGAAGTAAGAGAGCTAGAACATCAAAATTCATTGGTCCAGATTTTCTGACATACCTGTTAGAAAATGAACCTGAAAACTTTAAGGAAGCAATGATAGGTCCTGAAGCACCTTTGTGGAAAGAGGTTATTAATAATGAAATTGAATCCATTATGCAAAATCATACTTGGGAATTGGTGGATCTTCCACCCTGTTCTAAACCTCTTGGATATAAATAGATATTCAAGAGAAAAATGAAAGCAGCTAGTTCAATAGACAAGTATAAAGCAAGACTTGTAGTAAAAGGTTACAGACAAAATGAAAGTCTGAACTATTTTGACACATATTCCCTTGTGACAGGAATAATATCCATTCGCATCCTAATTGCTATAGCAATGTTGTATAATTTAGAAATACATCAAATGGATGTTAAGATAGCTTTCTTAAACGGTGATCTAAATGAAGAGATCTATACGGAGCAACCCGAAGGGGTTGTAGTGCCAGGGCAAAAAAAGAAAGTTTGTCGACTTGTAAAATCTCTTTATGGATTAAAACAAGCTCCGAAGCAATGGCATAAAAAAATTGATCATGCTATGCTTATTAATGGGTTTAAGATAAGCGAATATGACAAGTGCATCTATGTTAAAAACACTGACAAATGTTATGTTATCGTTTGTCTTTATGTGGATAATATGCTTATCATTAGAAGCAGTCAAAACATGATCAAATCAACTAAGTAAATGCTGAACAAAAGATTTGATATGAAAGATATGGGGGTCACAGATGTTATATTAGGAATGAAAATTATTAAAACATCTAATAGGTATGCATTATCTCAATCTCATTATATTGAGAAAATTCTTGATAAATTTATCAACGATGATATGAATGTAGCTAGAACACCTGTAGACATCAGTCTTTATTTATAGAAAAATAAAGGTGATGCGGTGTCTCAATTAAAATACTCTCAAATCTTTGGAAGCCTAATGTACCTAATGAATTATACTCGTCCTGGCATAGCTTATGCAGTCTGTAAATTGAGTAAGTACACTAGTAACCCCGGAGAAGACCATTAGAAAGCAATCATCCGGGTTCTTAGATATCTAAGATTTACCCATGATCATGATTTGAACTTTACTTGATATCTAGCAGTACTCGAAAGCTATTGTGATGCAAATTAGATATCAAATACTAAAGATTTAAAATCCACTAGTGGATATGTCATTACTCTGGAGGGCGCTGCTGTTTCTTGGAAATCCACGAAACAAACATGCATCGCACGATCCACAATGGAATCTGAATTCATTGCTTTAAACAAAGCAGGAGAAGAAGCAGAATGGCTTCACCACTTCTTAGAAGACATTCCAATGTGGCCAAAATCTATGCCAGCTATTTAAATTCATTGTGATAGTCAATCTACAATAGGCAGGGCACAAAATCATATGTATAATGGTAAGTCACAACATATTCATCGTCGACATAATACCGTAAGGAAATTGCTCTCAAATGGAATAATCTCAATAGATTATATAAAATCTAAAGAGAATATTGCGAATCCATTAACAAAAGGTTTGACTAAAAAGCAAGTGTATAGTTCATCAAACAGGATGGGATTAAAGCCTATTACATAAGAGTCATCATAATGGTAACCCTACTTAAATGACTGGAGATCCCAAGAACTAAGTTCAAAAGGACAACTAAGTTATGTGTGGCTCGCCAAAAATCACCAAGGGACTAAAATTCCCTACCCATTCCTATGGTGAGAGTGATATCTGAACATATATTGTATGCAAGGGTTTAAGGGTAAACTTTACTTTTAATGATTACTTATATCTTGATTTAGACATAAAAATCAAGGCAAGTATAAGAGATACTCATAATAAGAATTACCTATATGAGTGTCGAATTGGGGTCGGTTCTGTGAGAATAAAGATGCTAAATTCTCTAGAAGCACTCATGAAAACCAAGAGCGTTCAAGGCCAAAATGAACACAACCGTGAGAACCACGATGTGTCAGAAGATATTTTGTGTGAAATCTATTGTCTTGACTTACACAAACGGCTGAACAATTCAAGGCATCGCGTCCATTGATTAGCTAGTAAGTCTAGTAGGTTATCACTAGGGAAGGTTCAAGGCCGAAAACTACTATCCTGATGCAAGATATTTTCGATTTATACTTTTTCGACAAATTCAGCATATTGTTGCGTTTCTGTTGTCATCAAATTCCATTCATGTGAGGGATTATTAGAAATGGGTTTTGGAAGTTTTGGAAAAACAGATTTTTCCTCAACTTTGGTCTATTTTTTAGGTGGGACCCATGCGGCAAATTTGGCAGGTCAAAGTGGTAACGCGTTCTATGCTGCGTTGTGATTCACGTAGTATGTTTGGTTGCTCAAAACCATTATCGGGTGAATGAAAAATTGAAACCAAAGTGAGCTCTATGGAAATGGAGTTTTTGGAAAAATTCCTTAAGGTTTAAATAAAGGTTTGTCCCACATTGGTTTGGTGGGAAGAATTTTATGGGTTTATAAAGTTTGGGATTGTAACTTGGGGAGGGCTCCAAGAGGCATCCCAAATTTGAAGAAGAGAGGTTATGAGCAAATTGGGTTAGACCCATTGGACCCAAAAATAAATACACGCACGCACCGCCGCAGCCGCCGTCCGGTCGGGTGGGCTGGGCTAGGCCTGGACTTGGGCGCGGGTGCGTGGTGTGAGGTTTGGTTGGGCTCTTCCAACCCAATACCTATCTTTTTGGGCAAAAAATATTTGAATTTAATTTTATTTTTTGGTAAAATAAAAATCTGTCCAGAATTTGAATTTAAATTCCGAAAATCTGTCCAATTTTCCCTCCACCCGAATAGGTTCCAATCAGTTTGAAATTAAACCAAACAGATTCAATATCTGTTTAAAATTCAAACCAAACAGTGCCTTACCTATTTAAACATATATGTATCTGTTTAATTTAAACTGAACAGGTTTTGTACCTGTTTAATTCAAACCAAACAGCCACCATTTTCCTATATAAATAGGTAGTCCCTCATTTGGTTTTTTCACTCCAATTTCCGTCCCTAATTCAGTCAATACTCTCTACATTTTGTTGCATACAATTTTCTTGTGGGAAAGAATGTAAACACTTAGTGTGTTCATTGTGTGAATAATGTGTAATGCTGCTACTATTCACTGTTGATCATTTTATCCTGAGAGATAGACGTCCACAATCTGAAAGTACCGAATCTGTCTTAAGGACATAGTATTAAACACTGGACTCGATCAAAACTTTTTTCGAGAAATTAATAAAATAAATTGTTAATTTATTTTCTGTTTTATTATTTATTTATATCATATTTTGATTTTGTTTTTGTAACAAAATAAAAATCAGTTTTTTATTTATTTATTTTTATTTACTAGTTTGATTTTTGTAATCAAACAATTTCTCTCTTTATTTTTTCTATTTATTATTAAGTATACAAATATTATTTATTCGTAATATAATAAAGATTGTC